ATTCTATCCTAAAAAAATGCTCATTTTTGATTCGAAATTTAAAATTTTGTGCAGAAAAAATTGATTAGCAAACTGCTATGCAAACTGCTATCAGCTAATCAACCCATTCCATTCAACTGATTGCATTTGCATGCAAACTGCTATCAGCTAATCAACCCATTCCATTCAACTGATTGCATTTGCATGCAAACTGCTATCAGCTAATCAACCCATTCCATTCAACTGATTGCATTTGCATGCAAACTGCTATCAGCTAATCAACCCATTCCATTCAACTGATTGCATTTGCATGCAAACTGCTATCAGCTAATCAACCCATTCCATTCAACTGATTGCATTTGCATGCAAACTGCTATCAGCTAATCAACCCATTCCATTCAACTGATTGCATTTGCATGCAAACTGCTATCAGCTAATCAACCCATTCCATTCAACTGATTGCATTTGCATGCAAACTGCTATCAGCTAATCAACCCATTCCATTCAACTGATTGCATTTGCATGCAAACTGCTATCAGCTAATCAACCCATTCCATTCAACTGATTGCATTTGCATGCAAACTGCTATCAGCTAATCAACCCATTCCATTCAACTGATTGCATTTGCATGCAAACTGCTATCAGCTAATCAACCCATTCCATTCAACTGATTGCATTTGCATGCAAACTGCTATCAGCTAATCAACCCATTCCATTCAACTGATTGCATTTGCATGCAAACTGCTATCAGCTAATCAACCCATTCCATTCAACTGATTGCATTTGCATGCAAACTGCTATCAGCTAATCAACCCATTCCATTCAACTGATTGCATTTGCATGCAAACTGCTATCAGCTAATCAACCCATTCCATTCAACTGATTGCATTTGCATGCAAACTGCTATCAGCTAATCAACCCATTCCATTCAACTGATTGCATTTGCATGCAAACTGCTATCAGCTAATCAATCCATTCCATCCAACTGATTGCATTTGCATGCAAAAGTTAATCATTCCCGCATCCAACAAATACACATGAATAGCTTTTATTCTTTCAGATAATTCAATCAAATTTTCAAATCTTACATTGAAATTCATAAAAATAACATTAAATAAATTGAATTCATAGATTTATGCTTAAGCAATTGTTACCTTTTCCTTAAATTATTTATCATTCAGTTATTAAATTTTCTCAAATTCTTTTTTTTGAAGTCATCGTTGTTTTTTTTCTTTTTTATTTCTGAAAAGAAAATGAAATAAAATGAAATTTAGTGAAAATTTTGCATCAAATTTAAGAATGATCAATTGATCAATTAATCTTTGATAACAGAGAGAAGTGCTTATCATTAGTTGTTGTAATTTATATGAATATCATAATTTGGAAATAAACATGATAATACTAACAAATGTTTGAATCATAGAAATTCAAATGTCACAGAGTGGCTTCTCTGTCGTTATCATATCAAACATGAAAGTTTTATCATATCATTTAATGCATGCAAGAATTACATTTTATAGAAAAATCAGTGATAAGTGTCATATTGGAGAAAATTATCAGTTTATGAAATGGAGTAATCAATAAATTATCAGTTTATGAAATGGAATAATCAATAAATTATCAGTTTATGAAATAGAATAATCAATAAATTATCAGTTTATGAAATAGAATAATCAGTAAATTATCAGTTTACGAAATGGAATAATCAACAGATATCAATAAATTTGTTAACTTTGATCAACAAAGTAAAATTATCTAAGTGATCCAATTGATTTGATAATTATTGTTTATTAATTCCATTATTGTTGTGCATAAAGAGTAAACAAAAAAAAAGAAATTAATAGTTCAAAATTAAACTTTAAGCAGACACGAGTAATTTACACAAGCATACTAATTACTTCAAATTTGAAAGCACTTCAATTACTAAATAATTAAATACGTACACGTATCACACGTTGACTGAATTTCATTTACAGCTTCTCAAATAATCAATCAGTTGAAAAGTGTGCGAATCGGTCGAAAAAATGTTTTACCATTCAATTTTCTTAAATTGTTTCAAGAATTAAACGCAAATTAGTGTAATATAATTTTTGTTGATTTTTATTAATAATTAATTAAAATATATTTTTTGACATACATTTTTTTTTTTTTTTTTTGTAGTATTTTGTCAAAAATATGGTAAAATCAAAATTTAGAAATTATTTTCTTTTATAATTTCATTATTTGAAATAATTCAACGTTATTTGCAAATATTTTAATTCAATTTAATCTAAATTACACTAACAATAACCCATCTTACACAAAAAAATTTAAATATTTCAAATTCGTTTTTTTTAAAAAAAAAAATATATCAAAAGAAATGATTAATTAACTTACGAATTAACAAGCATAATAACAAAAGTTTGTCGATATTTTGAGCTTAAGAAATAATAAGTCATAAAACCAACGTAACAATTAATCAATGATAATAAATCTAATAAATTTGCCAAATTTCTATACAAAATGCTATGCACATCATTGGTATGTAAAGCATTTAACATTGCTAACACACCTTGCGGTAATTCTGTCACCTAAAAATTAATATTTTCAATTATAAAATTAAATTATTCCAATTCTAATTTACACAAATGATTAATTTTATTTAATTCAAATAAAACAAAAATCAATCAAATAATTTTTTTCTTTTTAAGTTTACATTTATTTAAATCAAAATTTAGTATAAATTTTAATAATTAATATTAAAATGGAAGAAAAAAAAAAGTAAAGAAATTAAAATTGACCAAAAAGACAGAAAGCATAACGACAAGTGTAAGAGTTGTTCGATCATAATTTCGTTTACTTCTTTTTGCAGCAGCATTACTATTACTTTTTTTACTTCCAATATCATCAGTAAAGTAAAACTTTCGAAAAAGTAAATTTTGTCGTCTTTTCAAATTATTCCTTAATCGAAATACTAATAAAATTGTGAAACAACACAGTAATAAACAAGGTAATGCCTGAAAATCATTTATTTATTATTTATTTTTAACATTGTTTACTTCTCTTTGCTATACCATTAATATTACTTTATAAATTTTCAACAATTAAGTAATTAATTCTTCAGAAAAGCATACATTTGTTTATAAATTATCTAATAACTTTGTTTAAATACTATTTTCTACAAATACTTTTAAAATATTATATTGCTTTAAATGTGATCAAATATAAAAACTTTTTGTAATTTTAAAATTTCAATAAAATTTGACAAATAAAAGGAAAAAAAAAGGAACGAACCTTTAAGGCAATACCTAAAATCCATAAATTAAGTTTGAAATATTTGCAACTATCATGTATTGCCCAATCAGATATATCAATAGTATAAAATAATTGTTCACCAGAAACCCTGAAAAAAGTCTCTTAATGAAGATAAGATAAGATAAGATAAGATCATTAATATCACTAATGACATCTGATTAACTATGCATGAATTTTAGTAGATCATTTATTATTTACTAGTATTTCTTTTTAAATTAATTATTCAATATTTCAGTAATTATTTTATATCACATTCAAAAAGTAAAAAATTTGCTTCTGATTCTCTGAAAAAAATAATTTTTCAACTTTTTAAAGTGTCAATTTTATTAACTATAAATAAATTAACGATATTTTATCTATTTAAATTCAAAATTTATATGAAAATGCTTACTTACTTACCATACAACTTTTATTTCATGCACCAAAAAGGTTGGAATGCATATGGCTGACACAACTATTGCAATAATACCTGTTGCACACCTTAATGTCAAATTTCAAGTATAAAAAAAGCATTGTAAAAAAAAAATTTACTTACTTTACTTACTTTTAAAAATAATTTTACTTACTACATTTCAATAAAAAGATTTTTTTTTGAAATGTCATCATGAAAATATATATATTACTGACTAGAAATGAAGTGTTTATGAAGAGAATCTAATTTTAGTATTATCTGAGAGTGTAGTATATGTTGTGGAGTGGAATTAATTGAAAAAAAGAAAAATGAAGAGTAATTGTTATCAGTAAGTAATGATGATAAGGATGGATAGAAAGCTGATAACTTGATAAGATTTAAAAGAAGGATATATGTAAATGAAGATGAGAAATGAGTGTTGTTTATTTGTTTGTTTGTTTTTTTATCAACTGAAAAATTTTAAAAATTAGATTTAAAATTAAATTATAAAATTTGAAATTGTATGCTTCGTCATCTTTTATCAATTTTCATCCATATTTTTTGGTTATTTTCTTTTTTGTTATTGTTGTTGAAAAAAGTCAAAAAAAAGTTTTTTTTTTTAATTTCAACATTTTTATTTCATGAAAAGTTGATCGAAAATCTTTTAATTTTGATTTCCATACCATTTTTTTATGTCACAAACAAAATATAATAAAAAATGTTTTTGTTGAAATTTCTATGAGCAAACAAGCTTGAATGCTTCGAGAATTCTCATTTATACTTAATTGAAGAAAAAAAAAAATTTTTTTTTTCTAATAATTCTTGAGAAAATTGTTTAGAAAAATAACTAAATTGAAAATAATTAACATTCTATAAATAATTTTCATACAATTAATTAATTTTTAAACAAAGATCACAGATTAAATTTGACATAATGAATTTTCTCGAATGTCCGAGATCGTTTGTATGACAAAGAATTTTAGCAAATCAATGGCTAAGAATTATTTTTTTTTTTAAAAAAAAAGTACAGAAAGAAAATTTTTTGAAAAATTAATTTTAAATGTTTTTTTTTTTTGAAAATTTTTTTGAAAAATTAACTTTAAATCAGACAAAACATTATTTATTAATTAATTTTTAAACAAAGATCACAGATTAAATTTGACGTAATGAATTTTCTCGAATGTCCGAGATCGTTTGTATGACAAAGAATTTTAGCAAATCAATGGCTAAGAATTATTTTTTTTTCTTTAAAAAAAGCAAAAAGAAGTACAGAAAGAAAATTTTTTGAAAAATTAATTTTAAATGTATTTAATAATTTTAAGCATTTAATTAATTATCAAGCCAACCATGAAGTACTAGGCTGAAAAAGTGAATTTCGAGATTGTGCCAAAGCACTCCAACGAATAATAGCCAACGTCACGCAACAATACAATGTTATTCCGTGAAGTGCTATAGACGTTACGGCGTGAATTTTAAGAATTACTACCCATATATAACTGAAATAAAATTAAAAATAAAAATAGCAAATATTATTAAATAGTTAGAAACTAAAAAAGTTTCTATCTCATTTTGATTATAATAAATTTTATAAGATTTTTACAAATAATTCTTTTAATAAAAAAATGAATCTCAGCAATTTTCAAAATTCACATTATTTAGCTTATTAAGTTTTTCACAGTTTAAATTTTAAAATTTATTCTTCTATCACTTTTTATCATTTGATTCTCTCTGTTAGAATTTATTAATACATCTGTTTGTAATTAAAAAATTTTTCAATAGTTCGAAAGTTTTTGAAATATAAGCAAAAAAAAAAAGTGAGTGAGTGAGAATTTTGGAAATTACTATAATTTAAATTGAATTTAATTGAATTATATGAGAATAGGAAAAATAATTGTCTCTGTTAAATTTCATTATTTATTTATTAGACATTTTAATAAATTAAATTCGTTAATGCATTACAATGTGATATAGTTTAGATTCAAAAGAAAAAAAAATGCTACAAATTATGAATTTAATAAATTATGGATTAAAATTAACATTAATTGCTAATTACTTACCTTACTTCCATACCTGATATTGGCATAAGAAATTTAAATTTAACTAAATTATAAATTAAAATTAATATTAATTGTTAATTACTTACCTTACTCCCATACCTGATATTGGCATAAGAAATTTAAATTTAACTAAATTATAAATTAAAATTAACATTAATTGCTAATTACTTACCTTACTCCCATACCTGATATTGGCATAAGAAATTTAAATTTAACAATATATAAAAGATATGAACTCATCGTAATAATATCACATACAGCAATGACAACTAATACACAATTAACTGCTGATCGTAGCATGCTTGGTCTGGTTAATACCAAAATATGAATTATATTTGCAAAAATACCCGCCGGGCAAATTAAAAGGCATACATATGGATGTAATACATCGTATGTTCTGAAATATTTCAATTAAAAAATTACCCAATAATTTGGTAGAAATTATTTGCTAATAATCATTTAATGAAATGTTAATTTCTGGAAAAGCAAATAGTACCACAATGCTATTTAATTTTTTTTTTTTTTTTAATTTAATATACATTTTATATTATTGCTAGCAATTATTGTTTAGCAATTTGTGTCAAATATGAAATTTCAAATAAATTCTAACATTAATTAAAATTAGTATTTTTTCAATTTTATAATAAATTTCATAAGTTAAATGAATGTTATTTATGCAAATAATATAACAAAAATTTTTGCTTAATTTAATTTCAATTAAATTTATCAAACATTTTGAATGGATTATTTACAATTTACAATTATCAAATTGAATTTTATTTATGCAAATAATATAACAAAAATTTTTGCTTAATTTAATTTTAATTAAATTTATCAAACATTTTGAATGGATTATTTACAATTTATAATTATCATTGTTAAATGAAAATGATAAATGATACTTACGATCGAAATTCATAAAGTGCTTGTTGCATTACGATGGAAATATTTTTATCAAATAATGGCGGATCATTCTCACAAAACATTTTTCCTTCTTTTCTTTTCACAATGACATGAAATGAAATGATTTATTTTAATTTTTTTGCTTTTTTATCGTTATCTAAAAAATATTTCAGTATGGGTAAATATTTCAATACTGGTAAGTATTTCAGTATTTCAGTATTTAATTTGAAGATAGAATGCAAATTTAAATTTTACTTCAAAAGAACAAAAAAAAAAGAGAAAAAAATGAAAAAATAAGTGGAAAAAAAAAGGTGGAAGTAAACCATAAAAAGAATAATAGAAATGCAATAGAAAAAAAAAATGTCTCTTTGACAGATAATATCTTTTGGTGACAAAAAAAAAAGGTGACAGGAGGTGAAAAAAAAAAAAAAAAGTTTTTCTGGAATATTATTTTATTCATAGTACGGCATCAATTTCCCGCATTTCATTTAAATGAGTGTTATTTCCTGTTTGATTCAAATGAAATATAGCATTTTCAATTTGAAATGAAGCGATAAAACTAAAAATTAATATTGAATATTTTGAACTTTAAAGTGGAAAAAAACCAATTTTTTTTTGCAAATAATTTTTTTTTTTCTTTTAATAATATAAAAAAATCATTGTTTAATAATAAAAAAAAAGTTTTTCAGTATTTTCTGTGTTTTTTGCAGCGTTTAAATTTTTTATTACGAATAAATGCATAAAGATTTGTTCAAACTTTGAATAAAAAAAAAAAAAAACTTTATTAATTAATTTATTTCTTAATAGAATCAGAATCAATCAATGATAGTTGCTTACATAATATTTTGATTAAATCAACATAATATATCTTGAAAGTCACAAGTGAACTGCTTCAATCATTCAATTTTAAAATTTTTTTTAAAAAAAAAATTTATAAAAAATTAAAAATTTTTTATTTCTAAAAATTAAAATGCATGAAACTTTCTGAAGTTTTAATCATTTTTATTTATTGTTTTTTGTTGCCTATAATTTTAAAGTATTTAAAGTTTTATTATTTACAAATGGCACTGTCCACAAGGACATTGCATCTAAATGTTATATTTGAATAGTTTCTAGAAATCAAATTAATTGGCGAAAAAAAAAGAATAAACAATCAAAAAATTTTGGCGTAAATGGTTGAAATAGTTTTTGCTGCAGAAATTTGAATTTAAATTTTGTTTTAAATCATTTCGAGAAATATAATATAAATCATAAATGATAGCTCATTTCAAAAATTAGCAGTACTGTTCTATTTTTGTCAAATTTCTGAAAAATACCCTTTCCATTACTTTTACAAATAGCAAAGTTTTTGAAATAATTAGGCACAAAAAAAAAAAAAAATTAGAATTTCTAATCGTTTCATTTGAAAAATTTTTAAAAATTACCAAATATAATTTCAAATTTAATATTTTGTAAATGTATTTTGTGGCAATAATTGCTACTATTCATCGAAATATCATAAATATATAATCAAATTAACAATTTTATTTGTATTCCATTTTCAAATGCATTAAAAAAAAAGAAATAAAAATAAAAAAGAAACTTTAATTTTTGATAATGAAAAAAAAAAAGCTAAAAAAAAATGCTATCATATTTTATGAAATGACTTTTAGTTAAATACATCAAAGATCATTTCACAAATATGCTAAATTATTTTCGATAATCCATTTATTATCTCATATTTCAACATTTCTGTGCAAATATTTTTATTAATTAAAATTTAAAAACGAAGATTCATTAATTAAAATTTAAAAACGGAGACCAATTAAGCAATTTATAAGTTTTTAAAATGTAAACAAAAAACAAAACTGATACTATAAAAGGAAGCAATTGTAAGAGAAATTATATTTACTACTCGTAGTAGCATTAAGCTTAATGTTTATTTTAATTTTCGTAAGTGCAATTTAAGGCGGATGAAGCGCAATATTCACGCTAATGACAAGTTGAAAAGTAATTGTAATGTTAATTTAATGCAATATTAAAAAAGTATGTAATATTTTATGGTAAGTAAAACGGTTTATCTTTACAAGTTAAGTTAGTATTATAAAAGAAATTAGTAATTTAAAATTGTTCCATTGAGATTTGAAAATTTTGATGGAGCAAAAGGATGGATAAAATATTGAAATAATTTGTAAACATGTCGAATATGAAGAAAAAATTATTGCTACAATTTTAGTTAAAAACTTTTAATGCAATAATCAAATCAAATTTTTATGTCTAAAAACGAAGTATTACAAATTTAGAAAAGTGTAGGAGAAAATGAATTTAACATTATTTTAACTAATTTATTTAGCAATCTAAAATAGGCCATTTTAAAAATTGTAAAATTAAATTTTACATCCAGGAAATGACAGCAAATTTCAAATAACTAATTTATTCTCTTTTAATTTTTTTCTTTCTTTTAGATGAAAAAAAAAAAAATTTCAAAATGTAACAAATGTTTTGCTATTTTTTAAGAACAAAAAAAAAGAAAAAATATATGAAAATAAAAATTAGAATTAAAAAGAAAGAAATAAGGAAGTGATTTTCTCTTTTGAATTAAAAAGAAAAAGCAATAATATTGCTTAAAGCTTTGAAAAAGATTGAATGAGAAGTTGTAATTGCGACAAGCTAATTTACTAAGAGAAAATCATTTTCATTGGCAAAAAGTTTTTATAAAGAAAAGAAAAGGAAAAAAAACATTAAATCCATTTCGTTGCAATAAAATTAAATTTGATGAATTTAATTGATCAAATTTAAAAGATAAAATTTTTGATTAAATTCATAAAAAAATGTTAAAATATATTTCGATAAAAGTTAGTGTAATGATTAAAAATATAAATTTTAGTTAGAACAAAATTTTTGAATAAATTAGGCTATGAATGAATGAATGAATGATTTGTATGAATTATTAATTGCTCATAACAATGAATAAAAAATAATATTAAATTAAATTTTCAATTTTATGCTAACATTTTTATCACCTTTTTAAAAATTTCTCATAGTATACGTTGAATTAAAAATTAAAAATAGTTAAAGAAAAAAAGCGTTAAAATTAATTATACAAATTTAAATTGAAAAAGTGCTCTCATATAATTATATGAAGCATAAAATAATAATTATTAAATGTATTTTACCTTCATTTTACACTAAAAAATTATTGGAAAATGATTTTAAAAAATCCCAAAAAATTGGGAAAAAAAAACTTTGAAATGTTTTATTTTTATTTATTATCATTTAACAATGAATGCTTTTATAATAAATATTTAATAATAATTTCATTTTTTTGTAAATTTTCAAATCTGAATGCGAGGAAATATTTTGTAAACAAAACGAAAAACATTACTGAATTAATTAGTTCCAACTCATTAGGTATATATGAAAATTAGTGAAGTGTTAAGCTGAACATAACAAATCAAACATTTTTATCTCTAACGAACTTTTTTTAATTTTCAAATTAATAAATTTAATATAACTACAAAATCTTTCATCGATCTATCAGCGAATTATCATTATTTTTCGGTTTCGACGTATAAATATAATATGATCTTAATTTTAATTTTAATTTTAAAACTATTTGTCGCCAATTTGACCTATCAAATTTGACCTTTTCTATAATTTGTCTTTTCATCTTCGATGACAGAAGCTAATGCTTTATCTCGAATAAGCCAAAAGAGAGAGGGAGAAAGAGGAATATTTAACATTCAATAATAAAATATTTAATTCAATTTCCTTCTATCACTACCATTTGATCATTTTTTCATGTCATCATGACAGCAGACTTTCTGGCTCTAATAAGTCATTCAGATGTGCCGAAAGTTCCAAGTTCCAATGATAGCTTAAAATCAAAGTAATGTTGCTATTCTCTTCAGTGACAATTAGAAGAATTAAAAGCAATGCTTATGAGAAAAAAGATAAAAATTTTTTTTCTTTTTTTTTCAACGACAATTATTGCTTTGAGCATAAAAATAATTCAAAAAAAATTTCAAGTTGAATATTTGATATATAAATTAAATTTTTGAATATTTAATTGAATGTTTTTCAAAAAAAAAAAAAAAAATTTCTGGGAATACTGAAAGTAATGGATATTTTAAGAAAATTAGCCAACAAAATTGGATAATCGTTTAAAGTTTACTCTTTTATTCCTTTGTAATTATCAATTGTAATTGTATTTTGCAAAAAAAAAAATTTTTCTTGGCAATATTCTAATTTGTTAAAATTTTGTTTTAAAAAAAAAAAAAGAAAAAATTAGCATTGGATACTATCCAATGCTATTCATTTCACATTATTTTTTTTTTTTTTTAAAATGAATGAAACGAAAAATACGCATTTCGATTAATGTTAGTTCTCATTCATTTCACTCACTTGAAATTCTCTCGAGAAAGCGACATTAGAAATTGAATTGAGAGCGCAATATTTCAAGCGAACAACAATTGAAATAAAGAAAAGTAAGAATAGAGGAAGAAAAAAGGAAATAATGGATTGATAGAAAAATTTTTTATTTCTATGAAAAGGAAAAAAGCGAAACTGAAATGAACTTAAAATGATTGTAATAGTGAATAAAAAGAAAAAAAAAAATTTTATTGCAAGTTAATCACTCATTTATTAAATCAAACAAATTTTTTTTTTCTTTTATATGAAAAAAGAAAAATTGCTTTTTTTTAATTGATAAGAAAATATCATTGCATACTTTATGAATTATCATTTATCATTTTACTATATTCATAACCACTGATTAATTAATGTTAATTTTAAATAACTTATTCAAATGGTTTATATTAGTAAATGATTAATGTTTAATAAAAAGCTAAATTTAATATTTTAGCATTATAATTTTGAGAATAATATCATAAAATTCCTTTTTAATATTATAAAAGAAAAGGAATTTGTTAATAAATGAAAAAGAAAAAAGGAAACGAAAAGGAAATTATGAAATGTATAATTAGAATATGTGCTATCATTAACTAAACAATAATTAAATTTATCAATTTAAATAATAAATGAACATGTGCTCGGGTTGCTCACAAAGATTTCTTTATATTTTTTATTGTTCAACTTAATTTTG